GTGGGAGAGGGAGAAGCAGGCTTCCTGCCGAGCAGGGAGCCCGATGCGGCGCTCGATCCCAGGACCCCGGGACCATGACGTGAGCCGAAGGCAGTCGCTTAACCAACTGAGCCACCCAGGCGCCCCAATGCCTGTGAATTTTAACACCTGTTTATCGAGCACCCTCTCTGGGCCAGGCCCTGGACTAGGTGCCAGGCAATGACCAGGCCCAATGTATCCCTGACCTCAGAGAGCTAACGTTCCAGTGATAATAACAGAATCGAACTGAGTGACACACACTTGTTTAATTATATTGCGGTAATGGTCCCCGAGAAGTGCCAGGGGCCATGAGTTGGACAGATGGGGGTCCTGGCCTGGTCTGAAGAGTCAAGGAGGGCTTCCTGGAGGAGGAGGTGGACCCTAAAGGGCAAGTGAGAATCAGCTGGATGAAGAGGAGAAGGAAGAGCAGGTGCAAAAAGTTCCTGAGCGGAGAAAGAGCCCAGAGCAGGGAGCAGGGGCCGAGGGAGGTAGAAAAGCTGTCCCGGCAGTTGGTGGCGGGGCAGCGCACATTAAGGGTTTGGACTCACTTCCCAGGGAAGTGACATGATCGGAAAGATCGCTGTGCTGCTGTGTGGGGAGAGGGCACGTGTGGCGGCTGATGCTGTTACAGCGTTCTGGGGCCAGGAGGTGCGGGCTGCCCAGGCTGGTGCCAGGGGACAGCCGGGAGATGGATTTTAGCAGAATGTAGGAGCTCAGATTGGCCTGATGGGATGGGGCGAGGGAAAGGGAGGGGCCGGTGTGGCTGCCAGCTTCGGACTCGGGCTGGACTGGGTGGCGGCAGCACCATGCGCCCGATGGGACCTGGGAGGAACGCGAGGATGCAGAGGGAGGCCCGAGGAAGGGGGCGGGAGGCTCAGAGAGTCTTAGAGGGACAGTTGGCAAGAGCCTACGCCTAACCACTGCAGAGGAGGGAAGCCGAGTCCCAGAGATGAGAAGTGTGCGCCCTAGTCCCGCGCTCATTCGTGGCAGAGATGGGGATGGAACCCAGTGCTCCTTTCCGTTTTGATCCCCTCGAGGCAGGCGCCCCCATGTGCTCAGGAAGCCGGATGTGACCCTCACTGTGTTCCTGTCCTGTCCCCTCGCACCCAGGTCATCCCAGACTGGAAGGAGCAGGAGTGGGACCCCCAGAAACCCAATGCCTATGCGGGCATCTTCCACTTCCACTTCTGGCGCTTTGGGGAGTGGGTGGACGTGGTCATTGATGACCGGCTGCCCACAGTCAACAACCAGCTCATCTACTGCCACTCCAGCTCCCGCAACGAGTTCTGGTGTGCCCTGGTGGAGAAGGCCTATGCCAAGTAGGTGCCGGTGGTGGGCCGGCGGGTGGGGGGCGGGGGGCCGGCTCCTTGCAGCTGCTCCTGCAGCCGGCGCTCCCGGCTCAGAGAGGCGAGGGGCTCTTCCGAGTCACACAGCGTGCTCAGAGCCTGGGAACCCAGCCAGGGCGTGGTGGGGGGAGACCTGGACTGACAGTCTGGTCCCTGGTGTCCCGTTCTTAAAACCAACCCACACAGACAGGAATGGTTGGTTTCTCCTTGTTCTACCTGAGAGGGCAGAGCCAGCACTCACATCCAGGTCACTGGTTTTTTTCCCACAGATCCAAGCTGCCAAGCCCTCCCTGGCAGCCTGGCTGGGATGTGGTATCTCAGAGCCTGGGCTGGTTGTGAAGGGTGGGCTCTCCCTGCCCGTTGGGCTCCCCTTCGTCCACTCATCCATCTCTACCTGACTGACTGTCCATCTGTTCTGTCTCCACCGACCCCTCCTCCTGCTCTGTGTCGGGCCCTGGGTCCCCAGCACGGGCCCGAGCAAGGGTTTGCTGAACTGTGGAGGGCTTTGGGGCAGAGTGACCTGCTCAGGCCCCTGCAGGTCAGGGGCAGACCTGGGGCAGGAGGGCCAGTGGGGTTGGACCCCAGCCCACCAGCTCTGTGGGAACCTCTCCCTGGTTCCGCCTCCCAGGCCCATCTGTTGCTTTCCTTGGACTGTGTGTGTGTGTGTGAGAGAGAGAGAGAGAGCGAGAGAGAGAGAGAGAAAGGAAAACAAAAGACACCAACTTTCAACATCAAAAACAAATTCAAGAAAACACAACATTGACAGATTCTGTTTTCAGTCCAAAGAAAGCAAAACTCGCCCCCTGGTGGTCACTGAGTCTCCCCGGTCCCAGCTGCAGGCCCCTCTCCCCTTCCAGGAGAGCCCCCCAGTAGCCGCTTCTGCTCTGGTCTCTATGCATCTGCCTATTCCAGCTCGATCATATAAGTGGAGTCGTACAGTATTTCCCCTTTCGTGTCTGGCTTATTTCTCGTAGCGTGATGTTCTTGGTGCTGATTTATGTTGTAGCATGTCAGCGTGTCCTTGTCTAGAGCGGCACAGAATTCCATTGCATGGATATGCCACATTTTGTTTCTCCATTCATCTGTCGATGGACTTGGGTCGTTTCCACCTTGGGCTATGGCGAATGTACTGCTGTGAACCTTGGTGCGCAAGTATCCGTCCGAGTCTCTGCTCTTAGTTCTTTGGAATATATACCTGGGAGTGAATTGCTGGATCTTATGGCAGTTCTATGTTTAAATTTTTGAGTGGCCACCGGCCTGTCTTCCACAGCAGCTGCACTATTTACGCATGCTTGCTTTTTCATTTATTTACTTTTAAAATTGTAAAACGAGGGCGCCTGGGTGGCTCAGTTGGTTAAGCGACTGCCTTCGGCTCAGGTCATGATCCTGGAGTCCCGGGATCGAGTCCCGCATCGGGCTTCCTGCTCAGCAGGGAGTCTGCTTCTCCCTCTGATCCTCTTCCCTCTCGTGCTTTCTATCTCTCATTCTCTCTCTCTCTCAAATAAATAAATAAAATCTTAAAAAAATAAAATAAAATAAAATTGTAAAATGAATGCATGTCTGTTATAGCAAATCCAGAAAATGTAGAAACCCAGGAAGAAGGTAATAAAAGTCGCCTGTACTCCTGCATATTCTTCCAGGCCTCTCTATTCCCCTTCTCTGTTTGGGGCCACCTGAGTTAACCAGGCTGCTCCTCTTCGGGAACCTTCACTCCCCTCCCCTCCAAGGCCCCGCCCCCCACTCCTGTCTCCCTCCCTTGTGCTCCCTGTGTCCTCTCCACGCCCTCCCCGCCACCTAGCAACTCTTCTGACATCTTTGATGGCTCTTTTTGTTTGTAGGTTACCTTGCAAAACCTGTGTTGCTGTTTTGTAGGACACTGCAAAAGATAGATCAGTCGGAGATTTTCATAGATAGGTGTAGATTTTCAATTTATGTAATCTGTTCTGTTATATATCCCATTCTGCTGCTGACGTTCACCTTCAGCCCTGCCTTTAAGACCCCCAGCCTTTTCCTAACATTCATAGAAGAAGCCACAGTTGTGCCCCTAGCACCTGGTAGGTTGCACATAGTTGATGCTTAGTATTTTTTATTTTTTATTTTTAGTTATTTACTAGTAATCTCTACACCCAATGTGGGGCTTGCTGTTATTTATTATTTATTTATTTATCTATTTATTTATTTATAATTTTTAAAAAGATTTTATTTGAGAGAGAAAGAGAGCGTGCGTGCAAGTGTGCACAGGTGGGGGGAGGGGGAGAGGGAGAAGGACAAGCAGACTCCCCGCTGAGCAGGCTTGATCCATGGGATCATGACCTGAGCCAGAGGCAGACACTGAACTGATTGAGACACCCAGGTGCCCCCCTTAATGTTTTTTAAATAAGTTATTGCATACTTTTATTTTTTGTTTTTTTCAAAAGGTTTATTTATTTATCTTTAGGGAGAGAGAGAGAGAGAGGGAGAAAGAGTGTGTGTGACAGGGCAGGGGCAGGGAGAGGGAGAGAATCTTGAAGCAGACTCCCCACCGAGCATGGAGCCTGACACCGGGCATGATCACACAACCCCGAGATCATCACCTGAGCCAAAACCGAGTCGGATGCTCAACCAACTGAGCCGTCCAGGCCCCCTCCCCACACATTTTAAACATCACTGGAATCCAGCTGTATTGTTTTTTCAAACGTACCAAGCGAGCACTAGCATTTTCCTGCCATAGGAATTCCTTTACAAAACTTCATTCAGCGGCCGTCTCATGTCCCAGAGCACAGATGCAGCGTTAATTTCTAAAGTCAATTCCTTGTTGTTAGACATTAAGGTGATCTCTGGGTTTCTATTGTTATAAATAATGTGAATTATTTATAATTGATGTTTCAAAAAATACATGAGCTTTTAACGCTTTTGAGAAGAATTGCTTGATTTCTGGACAGCTAATTTTGAGGACAGGCTGCTAGGGCGAAGCGGAATTTGGGTGATAAAATGGTGTGGTTCAGTGGTACAAGCACTGGCCTAGAGACATGGATTCCAGTGTTGGCTCTGCTATGACCTGCTGTGTGACCTTAGCAGTGTGCTTGACCTCTCTGAGTCCGCAGAATCTCCCCTGTAAGGTGAGGGATTGCGACTGGCTGGGGAGCGTGAGCTGGGAACTCTTTCCACATTGCTCCCCAGGCTGGCGGGCTGTTACCAGGCCCTGGATGGAGGCAACACGGCGGATGCGTTGGTGGACTTCACAGGAGGCGTTTCCGAGCCCATTGACCTGACTGAGGGCGGCTTCGCCAACGACGAGGCCAAGAGGAACCAGCTCTTTGAGCGCGTGTTGAAGGTGCACAGCCGGGGAGGCCTCATCAGTGCCTCCATCAAGGTGAGAACACAGAAGCAGCCCTCCCCTTCGCCAACCCTTCCTGGGGTGGGAGCTGGCTGTGGTGTCCCCGGCAGAGCCCCGGCTCAGACTGGCTCCTAAATCTGCACCCTCAGCCTGAGGGGAGCCGTTGCGGGGTGCAGCTCTAACCTCTACGGTATGAAATGCTTTCTGGTTTGACCAGCATCCCCCCTTTTATGAGCATCTTGTACTGGGGCAATGGGTATCTGTGCCTGTGAGGGTCCCCTTTGTCGGGGTTTGAGGCATCACAAGCTACAAGGTGACCGGAGGGGGGGAGCGACCCCCTGTGGCTGGCACAGGCCCGAGTGCTTCCAGAGGATTGTCTTACTTCATTGACTGCTCCTATTTCAGGGGGGGAAGATGGGGCTCAGTGCAGACACCAATGGGGTGTTGATAGACCAGCCCTCTGGAAAAATGAAAAGCCCTGATTTATAGCATTTGCTGATTTCTGTGGTGTAAATACTCCCAGCGTGTTGATTTCAAGCTAATGTTTTAACAGTTGCACAGTTGAGCCAGTGCCAGTGAACTCCAGAACACCCCTGGGCCAACCCCACTTTAGGTCCCTTCCTTGACCCCACACTGCTGCTCCCTGGGGGCTTGGCGAACACTGAGCTCAGTCCCTAACCACTGCCTCTGTTTTGTGTGGGGCTGCCATGCCTTCCCCGTCCTATAGGGGGCGGTGTAGGCACACTACCCACCCCCACCCCTGCCCCTCCCACGGGAGCCTGACCAGGCTCTGCCTGTCTGGGCAACTGTGTCCTCCTGCAGGCAGTGACAGCAGCAGACATGGAGGCCCGCCTGGCGTGTGGCCTGGTGAAGGGCCATGCGTATGCCATCACTGACGTGCGCAAGGTGCGCCTGGGCCATGGCCTGCTGGCCTTCTTCAAGTCGGAGAAGCTGGACATGATCCGCCTGCGTAACCCCTGGGGCGAGCGGGAATGGAACGGGCCCTGGAGTGACACGTGAGGCCCAGGGATGCGAGTGTGGGCACAGGACAGACCCTGGCTGGGTGGGCCCCCGTGTGAGAGCTTGGGCAAGGACAAAGGTGGGCTCCCTGGAGGTGGTGGCTGGACCTTGAAGGATTTGGGAGGAGGATGACAGTAGACTTACCCTGCAGCGGGCGTGTGGGGGGGGGCATGGGGGGGTGGAGGGTGGATTCTGCAGGGCAAGGACCTGGAGGTGGGGATAGGCCGATTCCGGTAGGGGACAGAGAGCCCCGCCTGGCGGTGAGTGGGGAAGAAAGCAGGGAGGGAGGCCACCAGGGGTTAGAATGGGGGTGACTGCTCTGTGTTCAGCCTATGGCCCTGGTGAAGCTAGGACAGGAGAGAGCCAGGCCCCCAGTGAGGGAGCCCCCTCCCCTGAGGGTCATTCTGCCCTTGCCCCCCGCCTGTGGCTTTGCTCTCAGACCTCCGGCCCCTGGCAGGGAGGCAGCCCATGGTTACCTGTGCAAGTGGCAGACAGGCTTTTTGGAGAGGGGCTGGCCCTGGCCCTGGTGCCCCCAACTACACCCACACTGATGGAGGCCTGGTGCTGAGCTGGCCCTCATGCCTCCTCTCCCTTGCCAGGGTGGCCCTGGTGGGGTCTCTCCTCTTACGCCCCCCCTTCCCTCCCCGTGTCCACATTTCAGCTCGGAGGAGTGGCAAAAAGTGAGCAAGAGTGAGCGCGAAAAAATGGGTGTGACTGTGCAGGATGACGGGGAGTTCTGGTGAGTGTGCTCTTGCCCCGGGTGGGCATCTGGGGCTGGGGTGGGGGGGGGCTCCTGTGGCAGGGAGCACCGGAAGGGGAGGCCAGAGCCAGGGCTCGAGCAGATGCCCCACCATCAGCTTGCTCTGTGGCCTTGGACAAGTCATGCCATCTCTGTGAAATGAGTCGGGCAGTAACGTGCCCATCATCCGCATGGTCCCTACTGCCAACCTCAGGGGACCCTGAGCAGCTGAGCTGCTCCAGCGCCCAGCTCCTGTCCGCTGGAACTTGTACCACATGCTTTTATCGCTTTACTGAATACCTGCACTAACTGTGAGAGAGGTGGCTATTGGGAGATTCCTTCCCATCTTACACATCGGGAAACTGAGGCCAGAAGAGCTGTGAGGCGGCCAAGCACCGCTGCGTCCGCACTCGCTCCCGGGGGTGGCGGCTCAGAGCACGCAGGGTGGGTGGGTGGGTGGGCCAGTCAGGGGACCTGGCCGGCTCAGCAGCCCGTCATGGCCAGGATGACCTTCGAGGACGTGTGCCGGTACTTCACTGACATCATCAAGTGCCGCTTGATCAATACATCTTACCTGAGCGTCCACAAGACGTGGGAGGAGGCCCGGCTGCGGGGCGCCTGGACGCGGCACGAGGACCCCCAGAAGAACCGCAGTGGCGGCTGCATCAATCACAAGGACACCTTCTTTCAGAACCCACAAGTGAGTGTGCTCAGGGACGCCCCCGGCCTTTGCACCGTCCTGAATGACCTTGGGTACCTCCCTGTCCCCCTGTGGGCTTCTGTGCGCCTGTTTAGTGGGGGGTGGATGGGCATGTTCGGGGGCTCCTCGGTGACCTGCAGATGGTAAAGACGAGGAACCAAGGCTCTGAGGACTCACGGGTGTCTCATCCAGAGTTACCGGGATGCTTAGAGGGAGGCTGAGCTGAGGACTCGAACCCCTTGTTTCTACACCCACAGTGCTGCTCTTTCGAGAGGAGCTTGGCCAGGCTGGCTCTTCCTCAGGGAGGACATCTCCCCTGCAGCCTCCTTAGTCATGACCCTGGCAGCTGTTTAGTTCTCATGTGTGGTGTGCCTTCCTTTGGCACCGACTGCATGCAGGCTCGGAGCTGAGCATCCATGATGTCACCGAGTCCCCCCGCCCTTCCCGCAGGGTGGGCATCACAGGCCTGGGTCATAGATGAGGGACCGAGGCCCAGAGAGGTGCCGTGACTCACCTGGGCTCTCACCGCTGAGCTGGGGCCTGCCTCCGGCCCAGCTTCTGGGAGCCAGCAAGCCCGTCTCTGGCATGGTCTTACCGCAGTGTCTCTCTTCCTCGGCCATCCCTGCAGTACATCTTTGATGTCAAGAAGCCGGAAGATGAAGTGCTGATCTGCATCCAGCAGCGGCCGAAACAGTCTACCCGCCGGGATGGCAAGGGTGAAAATCTGGCCATTGGCTTTGACATCTACAAGGTGAGGCCAGCTGGGACCCCTGCTGTGGGTGAGGAGAGTGAGGGAGCTGGATTTTAGGCCACCTGGGCCTGGGGGAGAACACTCTAGAACACTCTGGTCACCGGCCTCATCCCGCCCTCTGGCCGCAGTGGCTGATGCCGCGGGCCTGCTGTAGCGTGAGCCCTCTTTGGAACACCCACAGAGGGCCCGGCCTGCCTGGGATTGGCTGCCTGGGAGCTCTCAGCTTGATTTCTTCCCGTCCCGGACCCACAGGCTGTTTGGTGGATGGGAAGGGGAACATTGCCGGTGGTCAGGCCACACTCTGGGAGGCCCCTGCTGCTCCCTCCCTCAGGGCTCTGGGTCCCCCTGAGTTGGAGGCCCTGCTGGGCCCTGGGAAGAAGCATCCTGGGCAGAGCCAGGCGGGCTTACCCTGGCCGCTCCCACAGGCCTGGGGCCCGCGGCCCTCCTTACATTGCAACACCCGAGCTGTGACAGCATACATCGTAGCAGGACACCACGGGCCCGCCAGACACCCAGAACCTCACGAGATCACATGGGTGCACTAGGCATGGGGGTGGAGCTGAGGCCCTGCGTTAGACGTGCTCGGTCATGTCATGACCGCCTGCGCGTGTCCTCGTGTCGTGCTGGAGTGTCGTGACCTCACGTGATATGGCTGTAGCTTATCCTGGCACTCGTTCCAGGAGTTGGCTAGCATGTCCTGGCAGCTGGTGACGTCATTTCATGGCCCCGGGCTGTCACGTGGGCAGATAGTGATGCTTGGTCCGTCGTGAGTCAGAAACTCCCCGATGTTACCGGGGGGTCCTGTTGTCCTCCTACTCCTAACAGCTCTGCTGAGATCTAATCCACGCACCACACAGTTCACTCATTCAGAGTGTACGGTGACTTTTAGTGTATTCGTAGAGTTGTGCGACCATCGCCACCATTTTCGAGCATTTTCGTCACCCCGAAAAGACACCTCGCCCCCTTCAGCCGCCACCACTCGGGCCCGTCCGCCTGCCCCGCCTGCCCGCGTCGCCCAGCCCCGGGCCTCGGGCAAGCACCTGTCTGCCCCTGTCTCTGCAGATTTGCCTTCTCTGGGCACTGCATGTACGTGGATTCTGTCGCGCCTTTCACGGCGGTGCGGGAGTCAATGTGCGACGCGGCCCGGGGGCGGGGGCGCGCGGAGGGGGGCGTGTGTGCAGCCCAGCCCTCCCTCTCCCTGCAGGTGGAGGAGAACCGCCAATACCGCATGCACAGCCTGCAGCACAGGGCCGCCAGCTCCATCTATATCAACTCACGCAGCGTCTTCCTGCGGACGGACCAGCCCGAGGGCCGCTTTGTCATCATCCCCACCACCTTCGAGCCGGGCCACACTGGCGAGTTCCTGCTTCGGGTCTTCACTGACGTGCCCTCCAACTGCCAGTGCGTGGGGGCTGCTCAGGGCCGGGATTGGGAGGCCCGAGTCCCATACCAGGCTGACCCGGAATCTGCAGCCCAGGGATGTTACGTGTCTGCCCCAGGCGCGGAGGCCAGCCCTCTGGCCTCCCTGGGCTGACTCCGGCACCCATGGCCTTCCTTCTCCTCCCTTCCCCTGCTCCTCTGTCCCAGCCTCTCTTGGCTACGTAAAGGGACGGTGTCTCATATGTGCATAGCACTTCACAGTTTACAAAGCTTTCACTCGTCTCATTTGCTCTTCCTGAACCCTAAGTGGGGGGCCTGACCCCCCATTTTACAGATCAGGGTTGGGGGTCAAGGTTGGGGGGTGGTTTCCAAGGTCATGACACCAGTGGTCGAGTTGGGCTAGGCAGACTGCTGGAGCCATGCCATCCCTGCTGGGGTGCAGACCCTGTGAGCCCCACACTGCCCTCCCACCTTGGCAGGCAGTCCCGATTCGGTGCTCCTTGCACCCACGGCACACCTGGAGGCAGCATGTATGGTGGGCTCAGTGGACCTGAGGCCTGCCAGTCCATGTTCCGCCTCTGTCCCACTTTGGGGCAAATCCCTTCTGGTGAGCCCAGTGCTTCGTAATCTGTAAAATGGGCATGGTAATAGTCACCTATCACCCAGGGCTTTGGGAGGATTACAAATAATGCCTGTAACATCCCAGCGGAGGGCTTGGCCCACAGCAGGTGCTCAGTAAATTGTTTTTCTCTCGGGGAGGATGGGGCACCCCTGAGAGAGAGCAGCAGGAAGCCCATGGCAGTTTGCCCAGGATGAACGATGTCTGGACTAAATACTGCTCCCCTCCCCTTACCCCTTCTTGAATCCCCTCCCCTTCCATCTCCCTCGCCCCCTCCATCACCTCACCCCTCTCCCCCTCTGCCCCATCCCAGGGAGCTGCGCCTGGACGAGCCCCCCCGCTCCTGCTGGAGCTCCTTGTGCGGCTACCCCCAGCAGGTGACCCAGGTGCACGTCCTAGGGGCTGCTGGGCTCAAGGACTCCTCCACAGGTGAGGTCACCTGGGGAAAGCTCTGGGACCCACCTCACCGAGGAGGTACCCCATGCCCTCTCCCACTGCTTAGCAACAGACACCCAGCCTCTAGAACTCTCCTGCTCTCCCTCACTGGGTGAGCAAACCTTTCCTAACATCCACACTGGGCCCAGCCTTGGAATGAAACTGGGTGCCTAGAGAGGAATGGGCTCTGCTACCTGCTCTTGGGCAGCTTCTGGTGTGGGGGGACAGTCAGACACAGGGACAGACCGCTGGGAGGCATGGCTTAGGGAAGGCTTCCTGGAGGAGGTGGCCCTTCTCCAGGCTGAGGAAGCCTTAAGATATGCTGGTGAAGTGGATTAGGGGAGAAAAGTGCTCGGGGCAGGGGGAATAGCATGGAGGCCAGGGATGGCCAGCGTGCCCCCTCCTATCTCTGAAAGTTAGGAACTGAGTCAGGCTCCCTTTTCCTGAATATGGGAACTCTGGCTTCTGCTTTGGGGAGGGGAACTCACCTCCCAGACATCTGTCCCTTTGGGTCCTGCCCCACCATCACCCCATGGCCCATTCGATTTCTCTAGGGGCCAACTCTTATGTGATCATTAAGTGTGAGGGGGACAAAGTCCGCTCGGCCGTGCAGAAAGGTACCTCGACGCCTGAGTACGACGTGAAAGGCATCTTCTACCGCAAGAAGCCAGGCCAGCCCATCACGGTCCAGGTGAGCCTGCCCCATCCCAAAGGCCCCTCCTGGGCCCCCTGCCTGACGCTTCCCCACTCACAGGGGCTGGGCCCAAGAACACTACGTGCTGGTTCCCACTCTGTCCCTGACATGGTATGGGCTCGGGAATTCTCTTACTGGCCCTTTCCCGTGCCCCGGAGTCTGTGAGGTGGGCGTGTTGGATTAGCTGGTGTGATTTAGGGACACAGCAGGGTCAGGCCAGGGACAGTGGTCATCTCTGCCAGTGGCTTGGGAGTTGCTCCTTAAATCGCTCCGGAGGTGGGTCTACCTGGAGAGCTTGCACCAAGATGAGATGCTCTGTGGTGGGGGTGGCTGTTTCCCCAAGAGCGAGGGACCAGAAAGCTAGGGTCCTGGGCATGGGATGATTCTGGGCTCATTAGCGGGAAGTCTTCTGTCCCCCAGACCCAGGACAGCCCTTCCCTGGCTGTGAAGCCACTATAGGATTTCCAAATTTTCCTAACACTGTGTCCCACTGGATCAAATCACAGACCCGTAGATGTTGGGGCTGAAAGGACCCGTAGGGGCCATTGATCCAACCCTCGTATTGAAGATAGGGGAAGTCAGGGCAGCAGGTGTTTCACTTGTCCAATGTCACCTAAGGTCAGCGGCAGAACTAATAACACACTTAACTGTACATGTGGAAGAGAGTTGGACAGATGGGAGGAAGCCTGAGGCTCCGGAAGGGGTATGGCCAGACCTATATTCCTGCTCTTAAAGTTGCCCCCCCCCCCCGCCATGGTCTGCTGTCTCCTCCCAGATCTGGAACCACCGAGTCCTGAAAGACGAATTCCTGGGCCAGGTGCACCTGAAGGCTGACCCCGATCACCTCCAGGCCCTGCACACTCTGCACCTCCGGGACCGCAACAGCCGGCAGCCTAGCGACCTGCCCGGCACTGTTGCTGTGCGCGTCTTCAGCAGCGTCTCCCTCACGGCTGTCTGACACCTGCCCACCTGCCTGGCCTCCACAGTTTTACCATCTGCATGTCCCCAACCTGGCCAGGGACTAGCCTGGGAGCCAGGACGCTGGGGGCCTCTTCCCAGCTTTTCCACTGACTTGCTGGGTGACCTGGGGAGGCCTCTGCCCTTCTCAGGGCCTCAGTGTTCCCAGGCCCCCCGAAGCGTTCCCTTCTCGTGGAGGAGCCTTCCTCTGAGATTGACAGTAGCTCTCCTTCCCCCAGCTGTCACCACTGCGAAGGGACTCTATCCGTTGAAAACATTTCCCCAAGGCCCTGCCGTCTGCAGACGGAGTGCCAAGATGCCACTTGTTCACACGCAATCTGCCACGTCCCCAAACCCCCCTCTTGGCCCTTATGTCCTGGGCCCGCCCCTGTGAACCAGACCTTGCTTTCTCTGTCACCGACACCTGGTTTGCTAGCCACCTTGAAAGGACTCTCAGCTCTTGCTGGGTTCCTGCTTGGGCTGGAGTCAGGAAGATGGGCAGGTGACATTTGTTCATTCTCTAATCCTGTCCGCTTGCCCATCCATTTATTTATTCAACAGAGATTTGCCAAATGAATGAACGATGCCCATGAGGCCCCCGGTGGCGCCAGGCACCTCCCTGCTGCTCTGGGAGACCCGGCGTCTGTCCCTGGCCTCACCCCTGCTCTCAGGTCCTCTCCGAGGCCGAAGCCCAGATGCCCAGGTGCCCAGATTCCCAGAGGAGTTATGGCTGCCATCTCACCCCAGGCTCTGATTTCAGTCCTGGCCTCGGTGAAGGCCCCTAGTGGGATGGCAGCAGCGGTGGGGAGGAAGGGCGTCTTCCTGCCTCTACTGCCTTCAGGCCGGGAGGTGTGTGCCTGGTTTGGTGGGCCAGGAGGGTGTGGGGAGGCCTGGGGACCTGAAGGCCCCCTTCTGCTGCAAGACCTGGGCTCTTCCCGGGAGGAGGGACCCTGGGGCGGTGGTCTCAGGCCCATGGGGCTCAGGTTACTTGTCGGGCTTGGCAGGAGACAGGTAAATCCATCACCTGACCAGAGGCCCCTCTCCCAACATTCCCCCCCGGAATGCAGCCAAAGCAGCTACGGCCTTCCTCTTGCTGCCTGGACCAAAATGTTCCTTTAGGCCTCAATGTTTTATATTCTTTATGTGTTACCAATTTTAACCAGGGGCTTTTAAAGGAACACTGAAAACCTGAACCCCTTTTTTCATCTTCCAACTCCAGTTCCTGCGGTCCTCTGATTTGATTTTGATTCTGCGGGGGGAGGGATGAGAAGTCCTGCCTTCTCAGAGGAGGCCCACAGCGGGGTGAAGAAGAGGGTGTTTTCTACTTGGATGTATCGCCCCCTGGCCCCCCCGGGTTCTCGGTGAGTGTTGGCGCCACAACCTGCTTCGGTCCCTTCTGTGCCCTTCTCTGGCTCCAGACCGGGCGACATAAATGAAGAGCCCAGTGGGTTCAAGAACAGGAATTCCTGTGGCCTTGCTGGGGATTCCTTCTGGGCACCTGAACGTTTGGCTCCCGAGCTGGCTGTTCGGTGCCGTGTCCCGGCTGAAGATGCTGGATTCTCAGGCTCCTCTCCTCCAACCGGGCTGGCTCTGCTCGCGTGTCCTGGCACCCGGCGTGTAAGGGGCTAGCACCCGAATAGCGAGAACAAGGGGATTCCTTCTCGAAAAGCTGGGACTTCCCCTCCAGAGCCTGGGCCTGGGCCTGGGCCAGGACCACATGATCACGAGCAAGTCACTGAAACCTCCTGTGCCTCGATTTCCCTTCTGCGAAGTTTGTCGGCACTCCTACTAACAAGTGCTGAATAAGGGCAAAACCACACCCATCATGCATCTCTGTAGGCGTGCACACTACATACCTGCGTGTAATCACCCCTCAGTGTCTTTTCCAAGTGAAGACTCCCGACTTGGGGTGGAGAGGTGAGGGCCAGGCAAGCCAGCTTGGGGCCTCTGGGGCCGACACCTGGGTCTTTGCTCAGCCACGCCCACCTGGGCTAGGGGGCAAACCAGGACCAACCGGCAGACCTGTGTGGGCTTCAGTCTCGGGATTGGGCACTGCCTCCTCCCTCTACCCACCCCCAAAAAACCAGGTTTGGCAGCCCTGCCCTTGCTTGCTGCCCCTCTGAGTGGGCCAGGCTGGCGTCTGGCTGTGCAAAGGTCCCTGGTCCCTGGGCAGGTGAGGATGGAGTTCTTCCAGGCTGGGACTGGAGGGCTGGTGGGGAGAGCAAATGCTCTGTTCCCCTGATGCGCCCTTCAGCCTGTGGGGGCCTCGGAGTCCCCACTTGCCGCTGGGCAGGGCTTCTGGTCATACCACCTGGATGTGGGCTTCACTCCCCTCAGCCAACCGTGGGGTTAGAGAGGAGACCTGTTCTGTTCTCAGAATAAACATTACCACAATCCCAGAGAGACTTTCTTGCATCTGTCTGTCTCTCTGGGGGTAAGGGAGAATGGAGGGAATATTCCCAGCTGAGGCGGGGCCCTGCTGCTGGCCTGCTGCACCTGTGGGCAGAGGTCACGGGGATAATTCCATCATTCCTTCAGCTGGCCTTGTCCCAAGCCCCATCCTAGGCACTGGGGATGCAGGGAACCAGCCAGTCCCATCTGTGGGGCAGTCCACACACTAAGGGTGGGGGAGGCCACTGGAAACACTCTGATCCTAACACACGCCCTGCAGGGAGTGACTGGAAAGGCAGTGTGGGTTTTGGGGGCTTCCAGCCTACCTGGGAGGGAAAGTCGATGCCCTAGTTCAAGGGGACAGTGGAAGGAGAGAGGCAGCCACAGGAAGAGGAGCTGAGTTTGTAGGGCACAGGTGGATGGAGGGAGGCCAGAGTGGAGGCAGTTGGGGGCAAGATGCTGGCAGCCCCAGCCAGGAAGCTGGGGGGTAGGGGCCGGGGAGAACTAGTGGACAGATTTTGGAGGTCGAGTGGACGGAACTCAGGGATGACGGGGTGGGGAGTGGGAAAATGAAGGAAGGCCAATTCGTAGGTTTCTGGACAGGCCCGTGAGCAAAGGACATTATGAATGCTGAGCCCCGCTTAGCATAGAACATGACCGTGGGTGCTAAATCGTTGCTGTTAACAGCATCCTGGACCGCTGCAGACCTCTCCCCTCCCTACCACCCTGGGGCCATCCTCACAGATCAGGCCTGCATTCTGCCTCCCCGTTCCTCTCGGTGTCTCTCCGTTTGCCCGTCTGTGCTGGCCACCTCCAGCCTGGGAGGCTCAGCAAGGGAGGTGATGGGAGGAGGGGTGGGTAGCAAATGGCAGTGGCCGGCGCCAGCCCAGCAGTGGGGACGGGGCCCGGAAGCAGCCCCTGCCCGGGCTGCCTGGCTGAGCCCGCTCTGGCAGCGGGGGGCCTGCAGGGGTCAGGAGTGTCGAGTCAGAGTCCCAGCGTCCCCGCACTGTTGCTTCTCACCTGCTGCTCCAGGCAGGACGCTCAGCCTTGCTCCCATGGGGCTCAGAGGGCAGCTGTACCCGCGCCCAGCAGGTGGCACACTTGGGCCTCCCATCCCATTCTTTGGGGGATAGCCTCTTCCCTGCCGACGCCCCTCAGTTACAGAGGCGGGGGCTCCAAGAATGCATCCCTCCGCCCAGGCCAAAGTTGCCCCCAGAGAGGCCCACACTGATGGGGCAGTGGCCAGGGTGGCAGGAGGCGGAGGCTGGTGACAAGGACATGCCAGGACTCAGCGAGGAGTCCTCAATGCACTAGCACTTTGCCAGTGCTAGTAACACTGTACTCCCGTTTTGGCCCCACCTCACACTTTTAAATCACAGTATTTCACTTGGATTCATATGTGTCCCTGGTACAGGCAGGGTTGCTCCAAGTCAGTTGGGTTGAGAAAGTTTCCTGGATGATTATGGACCACACCCCCACCCCCACCCCCACCCCCAGAGCAGGGTGTGGGGGACAGTGTTGAAGTGAAGAGCCTCAGGGGGCACATCGGAGGGGAGCGCTTGGGAAGTGCGTCTGGGGAGTGGGTGGTGTGTGTACAGGGGCTGGGGAGAAAGGGCCAGAACCTGGGGCTTGCAACCTGCTGCCCAGCCCTGCCGGGTCTTCTCCTCTCAAGAGTGTCAAGCAGGCATTTACGGAGAAGAAAACAGGCTTGGTGGAGGGCAGGCAGGTGCCGAGACTCAGCAAATTGGTGACCGGTGACCGGCCGGGTGGGAGGTGCCCCGCCCACGCGCTGGGAGCAGGGGGCGGTCCTGCGTGTGATTGCGGGCAGCTGGGCGCGGGGAGCTTGGGCCTGAGTCCCACCCCGCTCAGCGGCACAGCCGAGGGACCCCGGCCTCCCTCCTGCGCTGATGTCACGGCATCCAGATCTCGGAGGCCCCTCTGACTCCGCCTCCTGAGGGAAAGCTCTGGGGTGGGGTGTGGGGAGGGCAGCAGTGCCGCTGGACGGCCGCTCGGGAAGGAGAGGCTGAGAGGGAGACAGACGGTCACACAGGGAACAACTGACTGATCCAGAGAGACCCCCACAGTGACGAGCCCCGGAGCAAGACGGAGCAAGAGGGGTCGTGTGTCTGCAGATTGTCCCAGCCCCGGGACCCCAGGCCTTGAGCCCTTCGTGCAGGGGACAGCCGCCTCCAGGCTGGTGGGGAGCTGGGACCAGGGTAAGCATGGGCTGCCGGCTCTCCGGGGCGCTGGGAGAAGGGTTTGCTGGGCGTCAGGGAAATCATGGACTTGGGCTTCCCTGGAGCCCCTGCCCCCACAGCCATTTGCTCCTGCCACATTTGGGGGTCCAGCCACAGCTGCCACTGAATGAAACTGTCCTGAGCCTGGACAGATGGAGCCTTGTAGCCTGGAGAAGGGCAGAGTCAAGGGGCATGGTGTCCATTGAATGGTCTCTGACCAGGCCTGGGGCAGGGGGGCAAATGTGCTGGGGATACAACGAAAGAGAGAGAGAGAGAGAGAGAGAGAGATACAGAGACAGAGTTTGAGAGAGAGAGAGAGAGAAAGAGACTTTTTTGGCCCCTGACACTCTCCCTTGATCTCTTTATCTCCCTTTCTCTCTCTTTGGATAAGTGACTTCCTTCCTCTGTGCTTCAAATTTCCCTTCTGTGAAATGGGAATAGGGTTGTTGTGGGGACAAGGTAAAGTCAGTCCTGGACATAGAAGTGTAAATACAGTTTTGTTTGCCCTATTGTCAATTTGAAAAGCAATTAACTTAAACGTGGGCTAGTTCTTATTTTCAGGAAGAAGTTTATCTTGTACGTTTTTCCTTCTGTGTGCCTGTTAAATTCCATGCCCCTTCCACCTCCAGGACCCCGAAAGGCCCAGCTCCGCCCCTGCTCTTGAGGCTCACCCTGGTGCAGGAGGCCGGGGCAGCCGCTGGGCACCCTGCTCAGACTTGGCTCCCCACAGCAGCCGCCTGCCAGCCCTGTTGAATTGCCTGCCCCACCAGCCGGGCTGGGTGCCGGTCTCCAGAAGAACTGCGTGCCTGCTGTGCTCTGGAGCTCCAGGGCAGGGGTCAGGGCTCAGGTGTCAGGCAGTGTCCTGGACAGAGGATCAAATGCCCCAGTGCCCCTGAATGGGCCTTGTGAAAAATTGATGCTCACCCTGGGGGGCAGGTTGGGGGGCAGAAGGGCCTCCCACCACGGCCTGTGGGCTGCGGCTGCCTTGGATCACCATGCTTGGTCCCACAGTTCCTTCCTGAGCAATCTCTGGGCCTGGCCCTAAACTGTGTGAGGTAGAGGCCGAGCCCACCCCCTGCCCTGGATTAACTCCCCAACTTTGGGGGGACAGAGGTGGGGACAGACCCTGACCTGACAACATAATGCACATAGTCAGGGCTGGATAGACAGAAATATCAGGGCTCTTGTCAGCCTAGGGGTGGTCAGGGAAGGCTTC